GTACCAACGGTTATTCGAAAATCTCGGAGAACGTGTGTTAAGTGCTACTACTAGACCACTAAACATTTTAGTGGACACTTTAGGGGCCAGTGGATCATCATAACTGGTCCAATATGTATGTTTTAAAATTATCAGTTACTGGAAGTAATACTGGATGAAAAACTACTGAAGTACTAAAACGGAAAATAGTGGCCACTATAGAGGTGGGTTTAGGGGCCACTTTAGTGTCCACTCCAAGTAGTCCTTGGCGATCCTCTATAGGGGCCAATAATAAATTTCCCAGCATACAGATTTTCCTAAACATGGATTTCAAAAGTTATTACCAAAGTCTTTATCCACGAGATCATAAAAAGACTACTCAATATGAGAAAAAAAGGAAAAAAATCTATTTTTTTCCGAAAAAAATTCTCAAATTTCCGGTTACTTGTTTTTTTGTTAAGTTACTTGTTAAAGTTCAAGAAAAATATCCCTAGTCTTGGTTCCTGGTCTCGAGGCACTATGAACCTCCTTTCCAGTCGTATATTCCCAAAACCCACATTCTGACAACAGCAGCGTCGACCTCCAACGCGAGCTGACTGTACAGATCGATGATTATCGGCAGAGGCAGGTCAGCCTTGTACAGCCGTCGGCACAAGTCGTCACGAACACTTGAAATGAAGCAAGATTCATGTTAATGATAACAATAGTTTATTCACTGCTTCAACAGAAAAATATTTAAAAAATAAGTGATCAAATAAAGGATGGACAGAGTTGCAGAAAAACATGACAGATAATTTCAATTCTTCCCGCTTGCTTATTTAAAATATATCTGGACTTCCCGGAGAGCTCATAAACCAAACAAAATTCACTAGATGCAACTTTTCACGCTCATTCCAAATCTGTGCTCAAAAACTGCCGAGGTGGCCTCTGAGAAAAGTTATAAGCGCTCAAAAGTTGAAAAAACCTGATGTGATCATTTTTTTTTCAAAAAAGGTCTGTACCAAAATATTATTTTTTTTAGTTTGCTAGTAAGCTCATAACTTTCTCTAAAACCATTTTTTAAGCCCAAAACTCAATTCACCATAAGAAAAACAACTAATTCAAGTTCTCTTTTATAATTAAAAGATCTACTGAGATTGGAGACGATTCCTTTGAAGATATTATACCTGATTCGAGAAGAAGCTGAACTTTCTTATGACTCACTGCTCAGGCGATTTCTGGAAAGGTGTTGGGAAGGTAATCGGAAGGAGTTTGGAAGCTTGAAGGTCTTGAGAAGGTCTTTGGAAGGTGTTCTAAGGTAATTCGAAGGTATTTGCTTGCCAGAAACCTACCAGCTTTCTTCTGGCAGGCGAGTTCTGCTTTCTGTTACTTGAAAGTCGGTTGGAAGCTTGCCAGCAAGCTATCAAACGCCTTCCACACAGCTTCCGAGCATCTTCCCGGTAGTGAGAAGGCAAAACTCGGATAGAAGTTGGGAGCTTCTGCTCTCGGTTTCTCGGAAGGCGTTTGGAAGCTTCCCAGTGGTCAAATAATGCCTTCCACATACCTTCCCAACCCCTTTACTTACCTTCCAGAAGCCTTTCAGCAAGCTTCTGGAATGAAATTTCTTTTCTTAACCTTCTGAAAACCTTCCAAAAACCTACTGGAAACCTTCCCAAGGTTTTCTCAAGACTTTCTAGCTTCTTTCCAACCTTCTGCTGGTTACCTTTCCAACACCTTCCCAGAAGATAGAAAAGACCACTATCGCTATTTTTTCCCTCCTGTTAAACTCACAAAACTGCCAGCTGATCAGCCGGCGCCGGGAATCCCGTAATACACACGAATTTGTCCCAAACTCGTCTGGTGAACGGATCGGCGATCCTTCCGGGGCTCCTTCTCAGCTCTCGATGGAGGAACTTCAGAAGTTCAGCCTCCTCCTCGTCGGTCAGGTTCAGCTCGTCGATCACACTCGCTTCTCGCTTCAGCTTCTTTCTGCAAGGCGTCGAGAGAGGCTCCTCTCTCTTCACTTCCTTCTTGACTTCAGTAGGCGTCCAGAACGACGTCTTTTTCTTGAAATTCTCATCGTCGCTGTCGATGCAGATGATGGGCGTCTTTTTGGGCGCCGCAGAAGACGTTGACGACTTTGACGACTTCTTGAAGTAGTGGTGCAGCAGAGGCTTGGCGTCTTCTGCAAATAATGACGTCATTTCGTCCGAAGCTTTTACGTCGTTTTAAAAAAAATGAAGGGAGAAGAAGGACAGATTCATAAAAAGACGGCTTCTAGAGCCATAATCTCCATAATGGCGTCATAAAAATCAACATAAAGAAATCACAAAAAGAGGAATTTTCAAGAAGAAAACTACTCAAACATCGTTTTTCAAGAAGTTCAAGGATTTCAGAAGATCTATGAGTCCCCGTGGAGTCTTAGACAGATGAAGAAAAAAAAAATTAAAATTAAATTGTGAGAAACAAAAAAACATGAATTTGTAGAGGAAACCCTGAGACATTCCAAATGCGACCAAAAACTCTTCAATTCTTGTTTCGAGACCTTTTTTGGTCTCGCGGATCTCGATGACGGGCTCCTCCGGATCGTCGGTGATCTGCAGGACGGGCACGGGCTCGTTCTTGCCACGTCGCTTGATCTGACGACGTCGTTCGTTGAAGACGGAGCGCATCGGAGGAGGCGCTTCGTCCGTCGGTACGTCTTCCGGTCTTCGATAGCCGACGGCGATGACGCGAGCCACGTAGGCGTCGACGTCGAAGTCGCGGTCTTCTTCGTCTCCCAGTTTGTAGTTGACCAACGTCCGCGACGACGACAGCTCTAGGTTCACGTCGAAGCGGTTCTTCAGGCTGCAAAAATTCCATAGTTCATAAGCACTAAGATATGTAGTTCTTGAAGGCTAATATAAAACTTTTGAACGACTTCAATAAAAATCAGCTGCGAATAACAAAAATTAAGTAAGCGGGAGTTAGACTCCACCCTAATAAATTTTTTCATATAAACTTCAAAAACAATTTGCTCTTGAGACAAAAAATGTTAGCTAGGTTCTCTTACTCCAACCACTTAAGTGAAAAATAAATTCTTAGAAAAGCTGAGAAACCGTTTTGTCAAAACTCCTGCTTACAAGTATTCTTTTAAGTTCCAGTTAAATTCAGAAAAACTTTCAGAAATTCCTGAAGCTGATCCGAAACACTTTCTAATGAACCAGAACACGCTTCTAACGAGTAAAACCTAAGTTTTTAAAGAATAATTTTCCAAATTTTACCTAACTTTTTTTAAAAATCTAAATTTTCGCTTCTCCTCAATAATTAAAGTCAAAAAAATTCCTTCTTTTTAAAAATTATTTCAAACTCACAACCGAACTTCCTCCTTTTGAACGGACAATCGCAGAACTTTGTAAAGTTCGAACAATAATTTGGCCGGGATTTCAGCCTGGTAGAGTTTTGGCAGCATTTGACGGACGAAACTGTAATAAAAAAATGATGAAAATTGAAAGTTTTAGAAATTCAATTTTTCGGATTTCTTTTAGTATTTCTATTTTTTGAACTTGTGAAATAGGTGGAAGAGAGAAAAAAAGGCAAGAGAGAGATAATTTTAACGCATTCTGGATATTATATTTAAACTAACTGGCAGCTAACATTTCCCGCAGTTCGTTCACATTTCATATCCTCGACATAAAAAGTCCAGAATCGAAAATGCTGCACCATTTCTTCTGGATTCTTGCGTAAAGCTCTGAAAAAAAATTATAGTATTTAAAAATTTTCTCACCTGAAAACGAAACACCACATGATTTCGTGATCTTTCGGCGAATATGGGATCCGCTCGACCGGTTTTTCCAAACATTTCGCATTTTTTTCTGTAGGAAAAGAGAGTTTACAACGAATATTTGATATTTTTAAACAAAGATTAGTAGGAACAAAGCAGGAAAATAAAGGAAATTGTCAAACTGTCGTAAAGTTGTGTGTGTCTGATTCACTTCCCAAATTCTGTGTATGCACCACGCTAACCTACCGTAACCCAATTATCATTTTTTTTTTGCTTTTCCTCCTTAGTTTATTCACCCTATAACTAGCTCGTTTTTCCAAAATCGGCATACGGTAGGCGGGAAGTTTCAGCGGAGCGGGTCCAGGCTCATTTTCAGATTTTGGTGAATCTGAAGAAAATTGATATTTAAAACAATATCTAAGAGTTCACCTTTGATCGGCGTTTGAGCTGGACTATCGTCGGAGAAATCTTGATTTCTTTTCGATGAACTTTTCGTGGTTTTTGATGATTTCTCATTGGATCGTTCAGGTTTATCCGAATTTTGGAGGAAGGACTTCTTTTTGCGAGTCTCCGGCTGGTATTCGTCTTCGGAATCTTGAAAATGATATATCTATTTTCGAATTTTGAAAAAGCTGTGAAAAAAAATGTACAGAAGGATGGAAAGAAGCTAAAGAAAGAAAACGTTATTCCTTTTTTCTCATATTGTGTAGTCTTTTTATGATCTTGTGGATGAAGATCTTGGGAATAATTTTGAAATCCATCTTTATAAAAATCTGTACACTGGGAAAATTTTTAGGGGCCCGTTATAGAGGCTCCCCAAGGACTACTTAGAGAGGACACTAAAGGGGCCACTAAACCCACCTCTATAGTGGCCACTATTTTCCGTTTTAGTGGCCACTTCAGAACTTTTTCATCCAGTATTTCTTTCAGTAACTGGTCATTTTAAAACAATCAGATTGGACCAGTTATGTTGATCCATTGACCCCTAAAGTGGCCACTAAAATTTTTAGTGGTCTAGTAGTAGCACTTAGACCTCTATAGTGGCCACTAATTTTTAAACCCTTCAGTGGCCACTAATTTGACTACTATAGTGGCCGCTAAAAATTTTCCCAGTATCAGCGAAACCTTTTCAGCTTCTTCTGAGAGTCCCTGAAGATACTTTTCCGTTTAACCTATCTATTAAACATTTTTCAAACCTGAAATCATAACCAAAAAAACTACCGGAGAATTTTTTTCCCGAAAAAAATATTTAAAACTTGCACAAGCACCTTCTTATTTCTATTGAAATTCAAGAACAGTGAAAAAAAAATTTAGATCACATATTAAACAGATATGATTATGAAATGATTAAGAGCTTGTTTCGAAACGTAATGATTCTTACAAACTCGGTAGAAATGAATGAAATGCTCGTTTCCGAAAGCCAAAAAGATGGTTCTAAGACATTGGTAACACGAAACGAACGTTTCTGGGCAATTCTAGTGGCCACTTAAGTAGCGTCAGCACTCTTAAGTGGTGACTAGAAGTCCCCAGAAACGCCCATTTCGCGTTACCAATGTCCGAATTAGGCTCTGTTTTTCGTAAATATTCTATAAAACAAATAAATTTCCAATTCACAACCTTCATCGTCAGAACTGGAAGAAGAGCTTTTCTCCTTATCAACTTCTTCGGAAGTTTCATTCTGCTTGAAAAGTTGCCGCTTGGCCGTCGAACTTCTCCTGGGTCTTTGAATTGTCCGAGGCTCGGACTCGGGCTCTGGCTTGGGCTCAAGTTTCGGTTCGACCTCCGGAGCTTGGGACTCTGGTTCTTCCTTGGGATTCCCGAAAATGTCCTGCCCGAGGGGGAATTCGCGGTGACCCAACACCTTTTTGCCCGCCGTCTCGATCTTGCAGTTGAATCGGTACTGTAATCTGGAAAAAATACGCTTAGAGAATATTTTTCAATATTTTAATGTAATGAAACCTTTTGAAAATATTTTAAAAACTCTTAAAATCAATAACTACTGCACAGATTTTCAAATTTCTATGATATTTTTCAAGATTAAGCTTTTGGAACACTATCTAATGCAAAAACTCCGTTTCAAACATTTTTCCCAGTTCGGTGAATAAAACCTTGTTTTAGTGAAAACAAAAAATACACTGAATATAGAAAAAATATCATTTTATGATATGAAGAAGAATCCTCACTGATAATGAAAGTTAGAAAATCATGAAAAATCCGAATCACGATTTCAGGAATAAATTTGGCCGAAGATTAATCCATACCCCATAAATTCATTTAAAACAACGATCAAAAATCACAACCTTTTAAACACACGCCAATTTATCATGAAAGTGACAAGATTTAAAAAAACGAAACAGAAAAGGAGAATTTTCATAACTGTCGTAATAAAAAAGAATTTTGTGCAATGCGTGTATGCACTGTTTTCTACGGTAACCAAAATTAAATATATTTTTTTCTGGGAAATTCGAAAATTCTGATTTTTGTGAACTTTTTTGGTAAAACCAACTGTTCTTGAAGCTTAGGATCCAAGTCCAACTGCAGCTTTCGATAAAGGTACATCATGTCGGCGCAACTGAGATTTGAACGATGCAATCGGAAAATCATCACCTTGCGGAAACTGCAATTCAACCCGTTTAAATCAGTTTCCGGTGGGAGAAGCTGACTGTGTTCGCAAGTTATCGACCGTACGCGTTCCGTTCAGCGGGTCAACATAATCTTCCCACAGACGAGAGCCCAACGGCTGTTTTTCATAGGCCAGCGGATTTTCGTCTTTCTTTCGGAGCAAACTACAAAATTCAATTATTTTTCTGAAAAAGGAAAATTATGTAAGTTTTTAATTAAAAATTTAAACACTCACTCCAAGAGAAAATTCCACATATTTGTCTCATCTTCTACCGAATATGGAGTTATCGAAGGCCGGCGCTTTATTGGAACTTTCTGAAAAATAGTTTAAAAATAATTTGTACGAATTGAAAATAAAGATATTGTTTTTGAATTTCCAGCAATTCCGGAGTTTTTTTGTTTTCTGTTTGCGGCAATGAAATCTGAATTCGACAGGAACGACGATTAATTTAAAAAAATAAATATCAAAGACGGATTGAGATACAAATGAAATAATCAATATGATATTTTTCGAATAAATATATTTCAAAAAAATTACATTTTTTTCAATCACTTTTTTTCTTATCATGCCGTGTTCAAAGTAATTTCCGCGAAATGCAAAAATACCCGTTAGAGAAAGGAAAAAGATCACTAAATTTTTGGAGAGTCAGAGATTATTTTGCATTTCGCGGAAATTACTTTGAACACGGCATCAATTTCAGCAGTTAAACGTATATTTTTAATCAATTAAAATCAACTCACAGTTGGAGACTTTGAAGGCGACGCCATATTCGTGTTGGAACCGTTTTTGGTTTATTTTCCGTCGACGACTTGGAAAGTGGGCGCGAAAATTCATAATTTCAACTTTTGACCCGAACTTTGGCGCCGTCAGTTCTTCGTGATCTTTAGCTTTCGAGCGATTTGTCAACCTTAAAGACCATAAAAGTAACATAGAAACTGTTAAAAACTTAATTTTGACATTTGCAAGTTTTTCACTCCTTCAATTTAAAAATGGGCTTTGGAAGAGAATTTCAAAAATGAATCCGGAATACTGCAATATTCAGTAAAATAAATTTAAAAGAGAAGTTTCCGCTCGCGTGTATGAGCAAGAAAATCTGATTTGCGCCTGTAAACGGCTTTGAAGTGGTATGTGACGTTTCGAGGCGAGAGCCAGGAGAAGTCGGGCGCAACCCAGTCGGAGGGTATATATGGACGAAAGTTTCAATTAAAAGGTGGGCCGCTAGTCGGCGGCGGCCCATCATTCGTTCCTCAAAATGGCGGCGTGTCAGGGGCAGGGTTCGGGAGATTTCTCAGGACACCTGCCGCCGTCATTGCAGGCGGCAGGCCCTGAGAAATTTTTTGCCCTTCTCAGAGCATCCTAGTCCTTCCAGACTTTCAGGGCTCCAAAGCTCTACGAAAATTTTTTCAAAAAAGTGTAATTTCTTTTTTTTCCATTACGAGAAAGGTAATTTTTTCTACAATATTAGCGCTCACTGGGATAATTTACAAAGCAAAAAAAACGAATACACTAGATTGAGAAATATCAAGTTCTCAAACTTCACAAAAAAAAAGACAAAAATGTTGCATCAGCCCGATGCGGGGCTCGAACCCGCGACAGCCAGATTAAGAGTCTGGTGCTCTACCGACTGAGCTAACCGGGCGCCGACAGCACTGGCAGGCGTGGCGCCAGATGAGGCCTCTTTGGGGCGACGTCAATCACAGGAACAAGAAGAGAAAATAAAACTTTGAAGTTCTAGAAGTATCAATAAATAGTTTTAGAAGAATACAAGAAGAAAAAACGAAAAAATAATTTCTCAACTAGAATAATATTTATTAAAATCGAAAACCACACACTAAACGAACACTGCAAACTGGAGAATCAGCCATTTTTGTGTTACTTAAAAAAAAATAATTGAAAAATTGAAAACACAAAAAATACAGAAAAAAAGAAATTAAAGCGATTCGCCAATGTCGACAATTTCCTTGATGAGAAAGTCCAAGTCGTCGTGGGTGATCGCCTGGAAATTTTTTTAAAAAGTAAAAAGGATTGTTTTTTTGAAATAGTTAGTTTTTCCGAATTTGTCTATTTGAAGCAAAATTGAATCGATTCAAGATAAAAAAAATACTCCAAAAAAATGACAAAAAAATAAATTTTTAAAAAAAGTACTTCCGATTTTTCCTTCGTAAGTTAATGTGTCAAGCCAACTTTATAGAATGCATAACACTATATTGAACAAAAACTTCAAATAAAAGGAAAGAAAAAAAAAGTTTTTTTCAAGTGAAAGAGAAAAAAAAAATTCGACCCTAATGGCGTAAAACCGCTTAACGTTGGATGCATAGTTGTGCCTCCCGAAACTTTTAAGAAAAAAATGCATAAAAAAATTGCTGCTCACCATCAAGTGCAAAAAAATTTTAAACTTCAAATTTTTTTAATTTTAAAATCTTAAAAAAATTTTTAAAATAGTGAAAAAAATAGGTGATGAGGGGCTTTTTGGCGTAAACCGGTGAAAGTCTGACGCAAAGTTACAAGCTCACCAATTTATTGAATATAGTAAAGAAAAAAAGGTTCTAACGTCCACTTTCAAACTCAAAACTCACCTTAAAATGATAGAAATGCTAAAAAAATTTGAGATAATTTATAAAATGTTAATTGCGTGAACCGTGACAAGTCGGACGCAGATTTTTTTGGAGACTATATAAAGAAGCTCATTTCTAAAAGCTGACGGGCTTCGGCCCAAAATCGAGATGAGAAGGAAAAAATGTGTTGCGGTCCGAAAATCAGACTTGACCGCAACTTTTTGCATTTTTCCACAAGTTTTTCAATTTCTTCTATCAATTTTTTCTTGAGTAAAAAAACCTGATTGGAAATAATCATCCGGAAGAAATTGGGCCTCTGCTTGTCCGGCTGGTAACCGACCATTGTGGTGCCGCGAACCATCATTTCCGCCTTGATTTTTGGGGCGATCTGAAAATCTTTCATCTGCTTTTAAATTAAAATGTTAAAGAGAACATTCATCTTGAAAAAAAAGCAACTAAAAAAATTTTAAAAAAATCGGAATTCGGCTGTTAATTATCTACAAGTGCGCTCTCTTGATAAAACTAAATAAATTGATTGAAATCATTTTTATCGTTTATAATAAACAAAGTAAATCATAATAATTTCGAAAACTGCAACCTTTCTTCGGAAAAGAAAATGAAAAGTCAGAAAAATTTAAAGGCGCACAGCATCTATTGAAAAATGGTCTTGTTATTTTGCAGCTTATTTAATCAAACCTCTATAATAACTTTACTGTTGTAAAAATATTAAATTTTCTCGTTCTAGGTGATGAACAACACTGAGCAATAAAAAAGTAATTAAAGGCGCAGGGGTTGTTTTCAAAATTGGTCTCCTACCTTTTCCAAACGGGCGGTCCTTTCAGCGGCGTCCAGGTTGCGGATTTTCGACGGCACGTACCAGAAGCAAATGTTGAGGAGTTCAGGCTGGAAGATACAAATTTAAAGGCGCATATGATTATTTAGAAAATGGTTTCGATGTTTTTTTCGTTTTTTTCAAGTTATATATTCAGATAGATGTTTTTGTATCAAATAAATTTCATTTTCGACTTCGAAAAATGGAAAATTTGAAAGTTTTGCCGGAAAATGACATCGCTGCTTTTGATTAATTTTTTCAGCGAAACTCATTTTTTGGAGAACGATGTAATTGATGTTCGTAAAGGGTTCCTTTTATAAACTCTCGGAAAAAAATCATGGAATTAAAGGCGCAGAGCCTTTTCTGGGAAATGTTCCCGGGGCTTCACAGCTGGTTTTTCGCTTTCAAAATGTTGTTCCGAGCATTTTTCAAGATTCTAGGAACTTTTTATGGAATATATTTCTTTTCGGAAACTTCTTCTGAAGTTTGAAAATCCACCTTTTCGATGATCAGCTCAAATCCTTCAGTTTCCTTGATTCGTTTCGTAAAATAATAGGTCAAATCCATGAGGCGGTTGATTTGCTGGCGATAGCCTTCCATTCCCTGGAAAATCATGGTTATTTTCTAGTGGGCAAAAACGGGCTGTAAGCGGGTCTGCCCGTATTGAACCCGTTTGAACACAACTGGTAGGACTATCAAAACAGCTGAGGCACCAGGGAGTCTCATGTTTTTGAAATCAACCAAGCTGAGTCTCCCTTCTTTATTTCCCCGTCTTGGCCCTACTGAGGCTCAAATGGCTTCAAAAAATACGAGCTTAAGACGGGTACACCCGTTGAAACACCTGGCCCGCATTGGAATGGTGGAAAACTCAGGAAAAAATACCTAAAAACCCTGCTCTTCCCCATGAGTCCAGTTGGTTTTCAGATTTTTGAAATAAACCAAGCTGAGTCTCTTTTCTTTATTTCCCCGTCTTGGCCCTACTGAGGCTCAAATGGCTTCAAAAAGACGGCTAAAAACGGGTACACCCGTTGAAATACCTGGCCCGCATTGGAATGGTGAAAAACTCGGAAAAATATCTAAAAACCTTGCTCTTCCACATGAGCCACAACTTGAAGACGTCATTATGTCGTCCGCATTGAATGGCCTTGTCGCCAGTGTCGAAACTGACGTCGTACGGTTTGTCCTCAATTTGATCATTTTCAAAAATTGAACAATATATAGTCCGTTATTCACGAATCGAAAGGCTCCGAAATTTGAAACTTTTTCAAAAATTCTCGTTTCGATGAGACTTTTTGACAGTTATAGAAGGATTTCGAGCAATTTTGTAGTATCTTTTGTGTTTTTGCAAAGTTTAAAATTATTTAAAAAAATGTGAAGAAAAAAGACAACTTTTTTCATGGATAAATAAAAAAAGGAACCTGTTGGAACAGATAATCGGCCGACATCTGGTTGCACTGGAACAGGAGCCCCTGAAAATGGAATTTTTCTAAAAATGGGAAAATCACCATAAACTCGGTTCAAAAAAATTTCATTTTTTTCTTCAATTTTTATACATTTTTTTGAAGTTTCCTCCATTTTTTTACATGCAACTGATGTAAACAAAGGAAATGACAAAAAGTCTTCAGAGGACCATGAAATTGGCTATAAAAGGTCTTTTTGCATTTTTCAATTTTTTTAATTCCCTGCAAAAGCTCGAAACATGGTCGATATTTAGACGTTTGAAAGTTAGGACGAATAAAGGTCAAGAAAAAAAAAGCCGGTTTTTAAAAAAGAGCAAAAAATAACCACTCCTTTTGCACCATACATAGGCAAAGTCGGAAGGACCCTCCGAGGGTCCATAAAGGACCATAGAAATGTTCCTTTTAGGGTGATGAAGGCTCTCTTTTTGCTGCCTTTTTGCTCCATTTTCTCAGCCCTTATGCACCATTTTTGCTGCCTCTCGCTTTCTCTACCATTTCTTGAGCCTTTGGAATCCCAGAAAAGTGGAAGGCTCGATAAAGGGAGTCTCTTTTCTGCCTTTCGCTGCCTGTCTGCGGCCTTTTTTGAGTCTCTCCCTTTTAGCAGCCGTTATCCACCATTCCGACTTTGCCCGAGTACATGGGATGAGCATGACTGGCGACAGTATATATACACAAAAAAGTAGATATACGTCCCAAAATGAATTGAAAGCGCCGAATAGATTCGTTTGCATTAGATTTCCTAAAGAAAAAAACACGGCTTCTACCGATCCGAAATCATACATGGGATGAGCATAGTCTTTTTCTCCGATCACTTTTAAAGGCACAGGGGCAGTAAAAAAAAAAAACGGTGTTTCAGTTCAAAGCAGTACTTCGTAGAGCTTTTCATTGCGAATCGAACGGTGAACTTGGAAACGTACCAAAATTCCTAGTTTTGGAGAAAAAATAATTCAAAGTCGGAGGGAGGGTTTGAGTTCCCGCGAAAAGGGCGCTATGCAGTAAAGTTGCTCTATGGACAACAGGCTTCGCCATCTTCCGGATTTTCGCTTTTTTCTTCGTTTCTTTCAAATTTCAATTCTTTCTGTTGTCACCAAAGTTCTTTTCGCCACAAAAGCGTCTGTATACCGATCCAAAGCTTTTTTCAAAATTAAAGGCGGGAAAGTAAAATCGCGTTTTTCTTTTACAGTTGTCACATCTGTAATTTTTTTGAGTACACCTTTCGATTCGCAAAGAAAAACTATATAAGATACTGCTTTCACCTGAAACCCCATTTTTTACTGCCCCTATGCCTTTAACTAAGAATAAAAAATCGCTTTTGCCAATCAGTTGAACTTTACAAAATGAATGTTTGATTTTTTTTTTTAAAGATCGGACTAGCGCCGTCCAGGGGGCTTCCTGAAAACTTTTTTTACGGTTCTTGCAAACCCCCCCCCCTTCATTTTCAGGTCCTATGCCATGTATGTTTTGCAATTTTATATGAACACTTTCGAGTCGAAGTGATTCTCAACTCATTCTGGAATGAAAAATACGCACATCCTGTCGGAAAAGACAAGCCGAACACTGGAGCAGGGCGCCCATCATCTTGTGCGGATTCCAGGTCACCGAATTGACGCGTTCGATTCCGGCAAGGCGGTAACGATGTTCCGGAGACAGCAAAAGACCTCCTCCCCAGGCTGCCTGGAAATAACTGTTGGCATACGGTAGAAGAAGATACGGTGATGAGAAAAAGTCAGGTGGTTCTGAAGATGCTCAAAGAGTCGTTTTTAAAGCTTCTGCCTTGTTTGAAGTGGAATAAAGATTATTTTTAGGAAAACGAAGATTGGCATACGGTAGAAATCAGTACAGTATTTAAAATCCATTGAACAGTTTCGAAGAGACTTTGAAACTTCCCAGACTAATTAGGATATTCATTGTTGAGCCAAGAGAATTTTGATTTCTAAGCTTCGTTCCAAAATCGCTCTCCCTTGGGTATAGCTGAGCTTTAAGGAGGTTTTAATTAAGCTACCGTATCAGCTACAGTATCCGGAAACTTGTAGGGATACTGTAGCCGCTAGAACCAAGAGCAGTTCAGTTTTCTGTTTCAAAACGACACAGGCATTTTTTAAAGGTTCAATCGAACTACAGTAACCATTACTGTACTTATAAAAGCTTAAAAATGCCTTGGAGGTACTGTAGCTTCCAAAATTTTTGTCATTTTTGTCATAGAAGAAGGTACGGTAAGATAAATCGATCAGATGGTTCTGAAGATGCTCAAAGAGTCGTTTTTAAAGCTTCTGCCTTGTTTGAAGTGGAATAAAGATTATTTTTAGGAAAACGAAAATTGGCATACGGTAGAAGTCTGTACAGTATTAAGAATTCATTGAACGGTTTCGAGGAGGTTTTGAATCTTTCCAGACAAACTAGGAGATTTTTTATTGAGCCAAGAAAAATTTTGATTTTTTAGCTTCATTCAAAAATCGCTCTTCCTTGGGTATAACGGAGCTTTGAGACTTTTATTTCCAGCGGCTACAGTATCCGGAAACTTATAGGGACACTGTAGCCGCTAGAATCAAGGAAATTTCCGTTTTCTGTTTCAAAACGACACAGGCATTTTGTAAAAGTCCAATTGAATTACAGTAACCGTTACTGTATCGATAAAGGGACGAAAAAACTTGAAGGTACTGTAGCTTTGAATAAAATAACTGTAGGAATTTACAGTACCAGGAAAATATGGACTATTTGTGATAATCTCTTGGACACTTCCTATGTCTAAATCTGAAATTTTCGACTCAATTTTCCGACAGAATGTTTGACAGCTTTAGCCCTACCGTAACCCTCTCAAAAACTACTGTAGGATGCAAAACGAACATCAACATGAAGCCAGAGTTTGTGGGTCTCGCAAATGTCGGCCACCCTTTCGATTGGGTCAAAAGCCCCATAGACGGTGGTGCCAGCCGTGCAGCACACGAAAAACGGGGTCAGACCTGCAAAAATCAAGATTTACATTAGAAAAATGATGGAAAGCCGCGAAAAAACGGCCGTTGTAACATGGACCTTTTGCGCTCCAATGACAACTAGATTTTGGAAATAGTGAGCTACTAGGACTTTGGTAACGCGGATCGGACGTGTCGGGGCGTTTCTAGTGACCACTTTAGTAGCGTCAGAACTCTTAAGTGATCCCTAGAATCGCTCAGAGTGCGTCCGGTTTTCGTTACCAAGGTCCAAGCCGTTGAATTTAAAAAGTGCAATTTTGAGCCTTTCTATCACCTTTTTTTCGAACTCACATGTGTTTAGACTATTCTTTTCCCATCCTTAAAGCATCCAAAAAAAATCAAAAATCTTCAAAAATTACAGTTTCGCGACTTTTTTCAAAGCTAAAGATTGTCAAAAAAATGTTTCTAGCCTTCAAAAAGCCTACCATCTTTTTTGGCTTCGATGATTTTGCGCTCCAACGCTTCGGGTATCATCTTCCCGTGTCGGTCGGTGGGAATGTTGAAACAGTAATCTGTTCCGATTCCGCAGACGGCAGCGGCGGTTTTGATCGAGTAGTGGCTCTATAATGTGATAAAATGAGATGGTGGTCAAGCGGTTAGAAGGTTTGGTTTGAGGGAGACACTTCTTGGTTCGGTCCTCGTTCTCGGGGAGGCTTTTTTGCTGATTTCTTTCGGCTTAATTTTTTGGAGTTTGTAACCAATTTTTCAAGGAAACCACAGTGAAACAACTCAAAAGAAACATAAAATATAGGAATAACCCTTTTTTGTAAAATCTACTTCAGCTTTATTTTTCAAATGCAGCTTCTCTCGGAAAATTGTCAAGTAGAACGAAATTGTAGCTCAAGAATTCATTTGATGGCCGAGTGGCTAAAGACTCTTGTTCGAGGAGGACCGTTACAAGTTCGATCCCCGAATTAATGCCAGTTTTTGCCACAGCTTCTTCCCATATTGCCATTCAATGGTACGGAATCTTCGCGAAGAAACTTTGAGAATGAAAAAAAGCTCAAATCTTCGAAAAAAAAACATCCCAAGGCTATTATCCGCTTCCATTATTTATTGTCCAAGCTGTGATTTCACATGGAAAATTACAGATTGCAAATATTTCTGTATTTACACCTTTTCTAAAAAAATTTCTTCTAATTTTTCAAAATGCCCCTTGTCCTACTTTTTCTAATAAGAGTTCTTATGGACCTTAGAAATGTTTTTGTTTATTGTAAAATGAATAAACCGATGATGACAGATGAGCTTAGAGAAGGGCTGACAAGCCTTTTTAAGCATGCACAAGTGCGCTCCAGGGCTAAATTTGGAATAAAAAAAGAACTGACATCTTCGCTAGTGAAGGCGCAAAGAGTCGGGATGTCCTTCATTCCGAGATGTTTGCTTCGCGGATGCAAATGGTGACGGGCCGCGTTCATAGCGTACAAATTCGCGATTGAGCCTCCTGAATAATTTCTTGTCTTATAGGAAAAAGACCATTTTTAATCGGCCTTTTTTTTTTGAAGAAAACCGATTTTCTTGAGTACAATTTCGTATTGTTTTGTATTCCCAAAGGCTTTCATGAACATATAAATTCATTCTGTTACTTTTTTCCTTTGAAAAAACTGATCGGAATTCCGAAAACTTTCAACGTTCATATTGCGCAAAAAGTATATGTTTAGCTTTTCTTTTCCTTGGAACTTTAAATAATGTATTTTTTTTCGAAATTTTTTTTACAGAAAACCAGGCTCGCAACGATGAATTTTTGCCCTGAATCGTACAGAAAAAAATAATTTTTTAAATCCCACAATTCCTAGCTGTTTTCTTATCCTTTTTTCCTTTTAAACCAAATTCAATGTTTTTCCCATTTATTTCGCTTCGGCTTCCTTTCCCTCACCCGGGGCGAAAATCCCGTCGGCCTTGTCGACGTCCCATCCGATCGCTTCCCACATTCTGGCCATCACCGACTTTTCCATCAGAATAAAAACCGGCGCTATTTCGTAGGTAAACCTAAAATTAGAGCATTGCGACCGATTTTCTGATTTTTTTTTTCATTTTTCCATACTTTTCTGTAGAAATATGCCTAAACTCCCAACTTTTATCCTCCTATCAGTAAATGCGCTCCAGTGACCAATTTGAAAGGTCTCGGACTTCCTCGGACATTGGTAACGCGAAAAGGACGTGCTCCGGACGTTTCTGGGCAATTCTAGGAATCCCTCAAGAGTGCTGAGGCTACTAAAGTGACCACTAGAAATGCCCCGACACGTCCGATTCGAGTACCGTTTGCGTTACCAATGTCCAGCGAAAACCGAACATTTTTAAGAAGCTCTAGGGGTCACTCAAGAGTTCTGACCCTGCTGAATCTATCACTCAAAGTGCCCCGACACGTCCGGTTTGCGTTATCAAGGTCTGCGGAGGATTACTGTTTCAAAAAACTTTTGAAAATTTTGAACTTTCCAAAGAGGGCTGATTCAAGTGTTGCTGTGTCGTAATGAAAACGAAAAATGCGATATTTCCTTTTAATTTCATTTCACAAAGGAAAAGTTGCAAGCTGCGGCGTAATGAAAAAGCGAAAAAAAAAAACAGATAATTCTTAATTTTGCTGATTTCCTTAGGCTTCTGATGATTTTTTGATATAGTTTTTTTCTGCCATATTATGCGGCACAAATGAAAAATAACTGAAAAAAGGGCATATAAATGTCAATTCCTTTAAAGTTGTAAATGCGTAGAATCAAGCTAAATTCGAAAAATGACAAGGAAAAAAATCCTCGTTCTCACCAATTAAAAAAAAAAGGAGACCTTAACGTTTCAACTAGTTCTGAAATAAAATTTTGAGTTTTTCAAATCAATGGTCCTTTTGCCTTCGAGATTATAAAAACTTGCTCAAAATCTTGGAAAATCAAACAAAAATTAGGAAAAAACGAACATATTTGTGTTGGCCGTGGCGGTGAGCCACTCGCCGGCCATCGAAACCAGGTCCAAAACCACAGGAAATCTGTAAAAAGGTTAATTTTTTTATTTATATATTGCCTGAATAAGTTAAAAAAATATGATAAAATTCAATAAATTTCACAGAAAAAAATCAAAAAAATCATGGAATTTTTTTAAAAAAAGTTCGATTTCTAACAAGAAGTTAATCAGACAATTAAAAAAATAAATAAGAATTCCGGAGAAAAGTTCAAATTTTTTGAGTTAAAACTGTGAATAAAATTTGAAAAAAAGTCAGGAAATCTCAAAGAAAAAAAAGTCACCTTTTTTTAAATTCATATCTTGAAGATGAAACTCAAAAAAACTAAATCTGAAGAAATTCCATATTTTTTTCATACATTATCTTACGATAAAATTTTTAAAAAAACCTCGAGAAAAAAATTTCAAAATTTAGGGATAAATTGATGATAAAAATTCAAAAAAATCATGAGAAATCTTTAATTTCTCCGAAAAAAATGATATTGAACTTTGAAAAACCTCCAGGAATGCGAAACACTGAAAAAAATCAGAGAGGAAAAATAAAAAAATAAAGGTCGAAAATTACAGAAAATCTTCAAAAATCACCAATTTTTACATAGAAAAACCACAGAAATTCTGAAAAAAAATCTATTTTTTGATTGTTTGATAATTTAATAGTTTTTAAAAAAATATAAGAAATCTAAAATAACGTTAATTTTAATAGAAAAAAACTGATATTGAAATTAAAAAAAACCGCTGAAAAACATGAAAAAAACTTGAAATTTAAAGAAAAACTAATAATCCTTCTAAAACCCCTTAAGAAGCCCTTTTTAAGAGTTCAAACAAAAAAATTTTTAACTTTATTGATAACCAGTTGATAATCATTATAAATCAAATTTTTACCTGATTGAAGAATCGCGGATGTCCCGTACGGACGCCGAGGCTCAGGACCGTTTCGCAGCTCTAAATTTGCAAGATATTTCCTTCATTTCCTTCAAATTTCTTCCATTCAAGGGTATTCCTTATATCTTCCAAAAACATTACTTCCCCAAGGAAAAATCTCCAAAACGCGGGAGAGACATTTCAATAAGCCTCAAAAAGCTTCCATGAAAAGTGGGGGGGCTTGAAGAAGCGCCTCAGGGCGTCATAAAGGGGGCAAAGGAAAGGAGGCTTTTTCGTCTTGGCAAACAGCCCAATGAATTTTCCTTGGGAGGAGTATAACTGAGAGAATCGCTATTTCTTCGAAAATAGGAAAAATCTGTTCCTGGCTTCGAAAGTTGGTTCAAAATATATATGAAGAAAACGAGTTCTGGAGAAAATTTCAAAATTATGGCATGGACAAATTTTTCAACTTTGTCAGGGGCTTAAAAAATGGTCAGAAATAGTTCAGAAAAAAAGGATTTCATCTCCAAAAATTTCAAAAAAGTATCCCAAGTTGCCTCTTCCAATGAAATTTTTGAACCACAGAAAGATGTTTCCTTCCTCTAACTTACAAATTTTCGAAAGAGCTCTAAAAATAACTGAATGGTGAAAAAAAAGCCGCGAAGAATCGTCATAATCGCGCTCCACGGATAAATTTCCATCAACGATGCTTTTGGAAACATTTCAAATGGAACTTTTACATAAGGAATAGTAGTTTTACTTCTTGGCAGTAAGCCCTAAGATTTTCTGTTTTTCCTCGGAAGGAGTATGGAATAATTGAGATAATAGCTATTTCGTTGAAAATTATAGAAAAAACCTGTTCCTGTCATGAAAAATGAGCTCAGAAAAAGGCTTTATGCTCCAAAAATGAAAATAAACCGCAAATTACGCGCTCAGACCTTGGTAACACAAATCGGACATGTCAAGGGATTTCTAGTGACCACTTTAGTAGCCTCAAAACTCTTAAGTGATCCCTAGAATCGCCCAGAAACGTCCGAAGCACGTCTGTCTGGCGTTGTCCGAGAAAAAACAAAAGAAAAAAACTTTTTCCTTTATTCAAATTAATAGCCCCTAAAGTGATCACTAAATGACGTTTGGTCAAAATAACTGAAAAAAGTCTTTCAAAAGTATTTTTCGATCTGTAACCCTAAAGTGGTCACTCCAGTCTTCCTCAGGACATCACTAAAATGATCCCTTCAAAATTTTCAAGTTGCTACATAATCTTCAAGAGTAATTGTTAATCAAAAATAACTATACTAATATCTAATTTATCGCTTTTCAACCCTAAAGTGATCTCTCAAAAATCATAACTCTTCCCTTAAGTGTCCCCTTAAACATCCGCCTCTCAAAAGACCTTTCCGAAAAATCCCTTAAGCAATACCTTCACCAAGGAGAGAAGATTTTCGGGTTTCTCTGGAATCGAGAGGTCGATGAGCATCTGCATCTTGTCCGGATGATGGAATTCCAAAATCTTCTGATCCCGGTCATTCTCGTCGCGAATGTACTTGAGTAGCACCTCAAGTGGTCACTTTAGGATTTTGCTAGAAAAATTAGATGAAACCTCAACGATGCGATTCAGAAATTCTTCCGTCGCTTCCCAATTTTGCGTTTGGGGCAGGATTTCTGGAATAAATATTGATTCAAACAAAGACTCATGTTTTTGACGTCATCAGAAAAAAACAGAGATCTGTAATCCTGAAGTGGTCACTCCAGGGGCGAAAGACTTTATTGAGAAAAAAAAGTCAAAAAATCCAGAGAAATCGCGGAAAAAAAAATAAAGTCTCTATTAAATCTATGACATCATTGGAAAGGTTCAGATAATTCTAATGACGTCATTTTTCTTCAAAAATTTGTTAAGAAGCCACTCTCAAGCTTCCGAAGCAAAAGAGCTTTTCAAAAAAGCTACTGAAAAAATTAGTGACGTCATTCTCGATTTTATTAAAGTGACGTCATCTAGAGAAAGAAAGCCTACTACCTTGGTTAACAGTAGCGTTTTGAAGCAAATCAACTCTCAAGTAAATTCAAGAAGTGACGTCACAAATTCAGAATCACTAACGTCTTCAGAAAACTTTCAGCAACAAAACGATTACGTCATAATTTTTTTGACGTCATCTGAACCCGCGGAAGAATTTTTCAGATGGTAACTTTCCTACAACAGCTATTCACTGACTATTGAATCATTAAAAAAAGTGACGTCACCGATTCAGAACCGGTAACGTCTTCAGGAAACCATTGAGAATAAAGTTTAAGACATCACTATATCGCTTCAGAAGAAACGATGACGTCATAATTTATTATTTACATTATCTGAACCCTCGGAAGTAATTACCAAATGAATAGTTTTTTACAACAGATATCCTCCGACCATTAAGGAACTTTGAAAAAGTGACGTCACCACTTCAGAATCCTCAACGTCTTCGGGAGACTTCTGGCAATAAAAACTATGACGTCACTCCTTTCAGAAGTACCGATGACATCGTAATTCATTTTTGACGTCATCAGCATACGAAGAAGAACTCTGCGACTGTTGAAAATCCAAGAAAATGACGTCACCGATTCAGAATCACCAGGAAACCTTTGGCAATGAGCCGCTTGAGACGTTCGTCGGACTGTTCCATCCTTTCTGCGGCCGTTCCCAGGGACACTGTCGGACTTTGTCGACCGTCACGAGCTCCAGAAGCGTCGTCAGCAGCGTCGACGACGTCGTGCCGTCGAATTCAGAAGAAGAGCCGAGGAATACGAAGGGAAGCCACGCCTCCAAGGGCAGGATTACGGTGGTTGCTCCTTTTTAATCTCGCTTGGAAGAAGAATGAGGAATCGCGGCCCTTCACTCTTATGATGGGGCTTAAGGACGTCTTCTTCTTCTGGCACGCTTCTGAATCTTTTTTCGGAGAAAACTCGTGATGTGGGCCTTTTAAGCCGAGCTCCGAAAAGAACGACGTCATCGAAATGAGGAAGTTTTGGGCGGTTATGAAATGGGGTCTGAAGCTTTTTCGGGATTCTGAAGTGATGTCAGCCGGTTTGGAACGCTCCGGGTGACGTCAAAAGACTGCAAGAGGTATTCAGATGACGTCAAGAGGGTTTTCTGAAGTTGTGACGACGTCAGGACTTTAAAAATCACAGCCGATTGGCTTGAAAATTATCAGCACGATTAGAACGACGTCAAAAAGGTTTTGGAGCTTCTCATCGACATCTGAGATGTTTCACTTGTTCTAGAGGACTTCAGAAGCTTACAGATGACGTCGCAAAGTCTCTAGAATTATTTTGATGACGTTAAGAAGATGTCCAAAGTTGTGACGACGTACAGGTTTCAAAAACTACAGTCGATTGCCTCAAAAATCGTCTGGATAACGCCAGAAAAACTTTTTGGCTTCTCCACGACTTCTGAGACGAATTCACTTGATTCAGAAGCATTCAGATGACGTCAAAAGAATCTCAGAAGTATTCAGACGGCTTTCAAAAAACACAATGGATTCCCTCAAAAAACATCAAAACATTTTAGATGCCGTCAAAAATGTTTTATCGACTGTTATCACTAGTTCTAAAAATCTCTAGAAGCATTAAGACGACGACGAATGTCTCCAGAATCACTCAGATGACGTCAATAAGGTTTTCTGAAGTGATGACGACGACAAGACTTCAAAAATCAGTTTGCTAGTTCAAACTCTGACTTGGACGTCGTCAAAGATGTTTCATCGACTTTTGAATTTTTTTTAGATCTCTTCAGAAGCATTCGGATGAAGTCAGAAGGTTTTCAGAAACCTTCAGATGACGTCAAGGAAGGTTCTCTGAAGTGATAACGACGTCAAGGCTTCGAAACTCCTTTAGATTGATTCAAAAATCATTAGCACAGCTTAGATCTTTTCGAAAAGGCTTCCAAACTTTGCAACGTCTTCTGAAGGATCGTAATGCACTTCAGAAGGCTTCAGAATCCTCAAGAAGTCGTCAAAAATTTTCAAAACTATTGAAAAAAGCGATAAAGTGATGTTGATGAGTTAAGATCACATTTGGAACATTTTGAAAAAAATCAGCAGAAATCAGTTCAAATCTAGATGACGTCACTCTTCTTAGAAATTGAAAAAAAAACCTCGAAAACTACACCTTAACTTCTTCTTGAAAATCGTTTCAGAATTCTCAAAATGACGTCATGAAAGCTGGTAACTCACATTCAGAAGGCTTCCGAAAGACCTGACGACGTCGAAAATCATTCTGACGTCTTTAGAAGCCATCGTTGGCCTGAAATTCTCTGAAAAAACAGTCAAAATGAAAAAAAAAACGTCTAGAAGGACCTAGTAGACGTCATCATATGTTCTGGAGGAAAAAGTGACGTCATTAGACTAGCAACAATCGAAAAACTATTAAAAACCTCAACATAACAATTTTAGAAGATGAGCGAAACGGCAAAGTAACCTCCCAGGGGAAAATCAAAATTTTTTGCTTTTCTTTGGAAAAAAGACGAATAAAACTTCATTTCGGCACATTTCGAAACACAACCTAGACGGATCGGAAAAGAACCCAATATTGGATTTGGCACGACGAGGGGCCATATAGATTATCGAAAAATAAGTAAAAAACGGTAGGAAAGCGAATTATACCCTCATATTCACTGGAAACAGCTATATATTATTAAATACTATCACAAGTACGAAGAGTGAAGGGCCATAAAGCTGGGGGAAATCACGGGACGAAATAACATGGAATGGTTGAATAAATGAGCTTCTATATTCGAGGGGAAATTGAATAATTCTAAGGGGAAAGATATAATATTTATTGAATTTTTGAGCTTCTTCGTCCGGTCGTAGAGCCTTTTGTGGTATCCTTGGGCCAAGGAGTTGACGATCGACATCAAGAAGCCGAAAATCATCAAGGAAACGATCATCGACAGCGCGACTTGGAGGGTCGAGGAGCTCTGAAATGTTCAAGACGTTACAAAATCAAACAAAACCCTATTTTCACCCTTTAATTTGTAGATGATCGTTATAAGTTTCCGAGCCCTAAGAACCTTCCAAAAATTAAAAAAAATTATATTTTCCCTCCAATCCGTAGATGATCATCAGACCTTCCAGGAGCTTTTAGATCTTAGCTACAGATTCAAAAAACACCCTGGAAAAACTATTTTTCAGGCCGTAGATGATCATCAGAAGTTCAAAGCACTCCGGAACCCCAGGAAATTCCACTTTTCTACAGAAATCCGTAGATGATAAATATAGAATTCGTTATCAAGGTGTTCAGAAGCTGCAGAAAATCTTTAATGAATCTTTTTATCCCTCCAATCCGTAGATGATAATCATTATTTCAAAAATTTGAAAAACCAATACTTCTATTTCAGTCTGTAGGTGATCATCCTAAGCTTCAGAGCGTTCAGAAGCTATATCTGAAGAACGGAAAAGTCCCAAAAAAAAAAAAATCTATTTCCGTTTTCCAATCGGTAGATGATCATCAGACCTTTCAGGAGCTGCTAGATCTTAGCTTTAGATTCGAAAAATGCCCTGGAAAAACTATCTTTCAGGCCGTAGATGATCATTATAAGTTTCAGAGCTCCTAGAAGGTCCAAAAAATCCCAAAAAATCCTACGTTCCTCCTCAATTCCGTAGATGATCATCCTAAGCTTGAAGATATATCTGAAGCGGGAAAAGCGTAAAAGGTCTCAGAAAAAAAAATTCTATTCCCCTATCTCGATATGTAGATGATCATCAGACCTTGCAGGAGCTTCTAGATCTCCGTTCAAGACGAGAAAAAAACCCTCTTTTATTTTCTCATTTGTAAATGATCATCATAAGTTTCAGACCATTCAGAAGTTTCAGAAAATCCCAAAAAAAAAAACTCCATTTTTCTCTTTCAATCCGTAAATGATAATCGTAAGCTTCAGAAGCTATATTTGACGTAAAAATGGCGCGACAAAGTTCACACAAAACATCTACTTTTCCTCCAATCTGCAGATGATCATCGGACCTTTCAGGAGCTTCTAGATCTCCGATCACGACGAGAAAAAAACTCCTACGTAGCCTTCTATTATTCCCATCTGTAGATGATCATCTCACTTTTAAAGCGTTTAGAAGTTCCAAAAATCCTATTTTCCTCCACGAATTGGTAGATGATCATGATAAGTTTCAGAGCTTCAAGAAGGTCCAGAAATCTCAAAAAATCATAAATCAGTAGATGATCATCTCAATTTTTAAAGTGTCAACAAGCTCCGAAAATCCCAACAAAAACCCTTATTCCCTTCTCGAATCCGTAGATGACCATCACAAGTTTTTGAGCGTTCAGAAGCTCCAGAAAATCCCAAAAACTCCTATTTCTCTCCCCCAAACCGTAGATGATCCTCACAACTTTCAGAGCTTTTGGTAGCCACAAAATCCCAACAAAAATTCGTTTTCCCTCTTCGAATCCGTAGATGATCACCATACGTTTCAGAACGTTCAAAAGCTCCAAAAATCCTACACCTTGCCCCCAAACCGTAGATGATCATCCATACCTGTTCGACATGGGTTCCAGGGGTCCGATGTAGGGCATTCTTCTGTTTGGTGAGCAACTCGAGCATGGGTTTCCGGATATGAGATCCGACGACGGGGATCTTCTCCAGGAGGTCGACGACGTGCTCGGCGTGGTGTTCAGAGAAGGCGATGATCACGAAAAGCATCTGGAGAATGTTATTTATGGCCAAAAAATGGAGCAAAGATCAATTTTCGAAAGGATAATGTCATGTTGGACTTTGAAAACTTCTGAAAATTGGCCAGGAATTTCCTGAAATTCTCAAAATGCGCCTAATTTTCGTAAAAAAAAAGACTCAAAGTCTCAAAATGCGCCTATTTTCATAAAGTTTGATGGTTTTCTTTGGGTTTTGAGTCATTATTTTTCAGAAAATATGGATTTTTACAGTTTGAAACTTTCAAGATCTTTTTTTAGTTCCGTTGAGGCTCGCCAAGGACTACATGGAGAGGACACTAAAGTGGCCACTAAACCCGCCTCTATAATGGCCACTTCAGTAGTTTTTCATTCAGTATTTCTTCCAGTAACTCTGATAATTTTGAAGCAAAGAGATTGGACCAGTTATGTTGATCCATTGGTCCCTAAAGTGGCCACTAAAATTTTTAGTGGTCTAGTAGTAGCACTTAGAACTTTATAGGGGCCACTAATTTTTCATCCCTTAAGTGGCCATTATAAATTTTTCCAGAAAGTTCAAAAATTCCTGAAAATCTTTCTGAAATACTTTCTGGATGTCCAAAAATACAACTAGCTTTTAAATTTTTCAAAAATATCATTTTTGGGATTTTTTTAAAGAAAGGCCCTAGGTCTACCAACCCCCCTAAAAATTCACACGCTTTCAAACCATTATTTTTCTACACTTTTGAAAAAAACTTCCAACTTTCGAAAAAAATCAAAAACAAGAGATCGAGTTCATTTAAGAGACGAACACTATATATCCGATTCTCGATTAAAAATTTCTCGATTATGAAGAATCCCCCATTTGATTACTAACTCCCATAAAAATCTGGACATTATATTAATTTCTTGCAACTTACTCGAGTCAGGTTTGAATAAAAATGAGAAAAAAATGTAATTTTATTAGAATTATATGTCGTTGAAAACGCTTCCAGCTTTAAAAACCGTCAAAAATTCTTGAAATCTTTCGGAAGTCATTTTTTCTCTTTTAGGTCTTGAAAAACTTCATAAAATCGTTTAAAAAAAATAAAAACTTCATCGAAAAAGCTTCAAATTAGAAAAATATTTTTTTGAATTGCTGGAAGAATCTGAAAAACTGCACCAAGAACTGCTTACACTAGGTTCCTTTTTTAAAGAATTCTTTCTGGAGCTGTGAAATCATTTTTCTTCCTAATTTTGTATTCTAACTTTTTAAAAAGCTCTCAAAATCAACTTTTACGTGGACATAAATCATGGAAAAAGACCGGAAACACGACAATCTGCTGAAAAATTTGCATAGAACACAAGAAAAGTAATGAATAAATTACATATAGAATAAAAAATATAAACCTGAACATGCATCTTAACGAGGGCTTTTTCCGAGAAGCGTCGCGCCGAAAAAAACGACCAGAAGGGGACCAAAAAGTGGCCGCAAGTGATCCCTAAAGGGATTCTCATTTTTTTTTTGTTTAACTTACTCGAAAACTTCGTTTTAAAGAGAAAATAAATCTGTTTTTAATATTTTAAAATCTAAAGCGCCTGAAAATTGAATTCTTGATTGAAGAAAATAGAAAATTGAACTTTTCAGAGACATTTTTTTCATTTTTCTTTTTCAATTTTTTGAGTTCTGAGCACCTGAAAATTGAACTGCAATGGATCGAAAAATTAAAAAAATGGGTATTTTCATTTCGAGTGCCCTTAAGAGACTACTTTTTCAGTTTTTTTGAATTTCGCGCATCAGAAAAATTGAACTCCAATGGATAAAAAGACGACAAAAACAGAAAAATGTCTTTTTTTAGTGCCCTTAAGAGATAACTTTTCCAATATTTTGAATTTTGAATTTGGAGCCTCTAAAAAATGAACTATACGAGAAAAATGCAAAAATGGCTACTTTCTTTTTGTGAGCCCTTTAGAGACCACTTTTTAATCTAGTATCCATTCCAAGAAAACATCTAACTATTCGGAATTCGTTGAAAAATGTGCTTTTTCTAAAACTTTCCTTAAAAAACGCAAAAAATTAACTTTTTTTAGAAACGAATAATTTTTTTCCTAATATTTATGAAAAAAAGAACCAACCAGCCAGATCGAAAAGGGGATTCGGGATCGAGGCGAAGAGCAGGATTCCAGGGAAACCGACCCGGGCGATGAATTTCTCCATTTTCGCCTTGCAACGGTCCATGAACGACTGGAAAATCGTCAATTTTTATCGATTTTCAGGATTTTGAACGTGAAAAACTTGAAAAAATCAATCAATCAATCTAGGCTTTTTGAAAAGAAATCTCTTAACTATCAAGAAAATTGTCAGTATAGTTCAGGAACAAAAAAAAAATCATTTTCTTTCACATTTTCTAGTTTCACTTAAGACAAGGTTCCCATATTCTCATGCTGGTAAGGCTATGCTAAACCGGGCTCTCAGCGGGTGCACCCGTCCTAAACCCGTAAAAGCCCTGCTAATAAGTTTTGAATTTTAATACAGCTGAGGCACCATTTAAACCCAATAGGGAATCAGACTTTCGGAGCTTATCAAGCTGAATATTCTTGCCCAAATTCAACACAGAACAACTAAAAACCAACTTTTTGAAAATGGATTTTTTTCACTTCACGTCGAATTTTTTTAATGACTTTCTTTTTCTTTTATTCTGGTCATGCGAGTTGATTTCCTTACGTTTCATAATGAATTGAAATAAGCAAAGAATTTTTGTTCACATGTTGACAACAAAAAAATTTCCTTGCTATCATTTGAAAAAATTTTCACCAATTTTAATGTGGGGGCTGTTTTTTTGAAGCCCTTTTTGTTATTATACTTAGGAAGTTTAGAGTGGTTTCTATAAGGCCAGGAAAAAAGCCCCTGTAGAGACCGAATAAGTGGCCCCTATAGGGGTCATTAAATTCTTTTCACAAAAATTTTTTTATAGTTTTTTGCATGGAATTGCTTCTTCTAAAAGATCTCATGAAAATTATTGAGTAGCATGCCCCCTTTAGGGACTACTTTTGCGTTAGTGAGCCCTACAGAGGTTGTTTGGCCTCTTTTCTGTTTATTCTCTGGACTACCCCAAAAAATGTTTTTCTGACCGTTTGATCTCGAATTTTTCTTACACCTGTTGTTTTCCAGTTTTCGCCCAACCGAGTCCCCTAGAGGGCGCGGGTTTAATACGGGTACACCCGCCAAAAAACCTAGCCAGCATGAAAAAAACAATACAATCTTGAGTCTCATTTGGAATCTTGGAAAGTTAAAGAGAATTTTAATAGTTTGTTTTTCTCTAAACGCTCTCTTGTTCGCCTGCTCTCTAGCTTTGGGAAATTCGCAATTTAGAAACCAAAAAAAAGACCACACGAACGTCTAAACCTCTTCATTTCACACACTACTTCGTGCGAAGACCAAAAGCTAGATTCAAGAATATTAGTTGAGAAAGTAGCCCCCAAAATTTTAGAACGTGAAGAGAGCAATGATTTTTCGAATAAATTCAAACCAAAACCTTTTTAATTACTCCTGTCTTCTGAGATATTCTTTCTTTATTTTTGAATTTTTCAACCTGACTTCAAAAAAATTTAGTTTTTTTCTTATCGAAATATTGAAAACGAACGAGTTCCTCCGAGTTTCCGCCTCTCTCGGCGTTCATATGGGCCAAGAATTCGCGATACTCTTCGTCGTCGGGCTGTTGGCCGCCGAGTCGGGCTGCCCGGGCCATGAAATAGGGCGGAAGTTCGCCCAGGGCCGTTCCGGCGCCCCAGAGGAGAGATTCGATTCGGACCTTGAAAAAAATGTTAATAAACTTTTTTTATACTTGTTAATTTTTGTTGATTTTTTTCAGCAATTTTTTTGGTTTCCAATCGTTATTTTTTTCGTTTTTCAAAAAAACTTTTCGAAAGCTTGTAAAGTTTGAAAAAAATGAATAAAAAAATAAAAAAATTTCGAAAATTCTTCAAATTTTGAAAGAAATTTCAAAAAAACTTGTTAATTTGAGTAATTTTTCCATCTTTTTTTGAATAAAATTCGTAATTTTCGATTTTTTTGTAAACTCATAAATTTTTTTCCAGAGACATTAAAAAAAGATACAAAAAAACTCTTCAAAAAAACTTCTAAACTAGAAAAAAATTGAAAAAAAGTTCTTGAAAAATTAAAAAAATCAGAGAAAAATGTGTTAATTTGAGTAAATTTCCATCAATTTCTTGACTTAATTTCGTGAATCCCGGTTTTTAAAAAGCTCATAATTTTTTTCAAAGAAGTTCATAATACAAGAAAAAAACTGCCCAACTACCTCTTAAACTGGACAAATTAATAAATATTTATGAAATAAAAAAATTTTTAAAAAAAGAAAAATCTTTTTTTCACATTTCGAACACAAATTCCCCCGTTACAAAGCTTATAAAAGCTTGAAAAATATGTCTCATAATTAAATTAATCTCTAAAACTAACCTTCGAAACAATTTGCCACAGAGTAACCGCCCTACGGGTTGTCTTTTCCGGGCAGACAATGCTGAAAAATTGTTTTCCCATTCAAAATCCAACAAATTTTCATGTAAAATGAAGCAAAATCACTGAAAGATCATTCTTTCTATTAAAAAAATTAAATTCGAAGGTGAAAAAAATCAAAAAAATTTTTCATGAAAATTAAAGAAAAAGAACCTTGACGGATATGGGGGTTCAGGAAAATCCAAAGTTCCGCATTCATATGCAGCCAAAGTTACCGCGGCAATGTGGGGGGCCCTGGAAAATAAAAACACTTTTTGAGATTTTTGAACTGAAATATTCAAAAAAATGAGTCGAAAAAAATCATGGAAACTGTAGAAAATTTGAGCATAAATGGAGAAAAAAACCGTTTTTCAGAATTAAAACGTTTCAAACTTTCTTGAAAGCTTCGAAAAAAATTGAAAAAAACTTTTTAATATTCAATATTGAAAAAAATTATTGTGATAGGTGGAAGTAGCAAAAAAAATCGTTTTTCAAAAATTTCTGAAAATGTCCGTACTTTAAAAACGTCTGAAAAATTGACGGCTACGAGTATCGTACTTTAGATTTTGAACCTTGAGCTATTCACAAAAAGAAAAAAACAGTAGAATTTTTCATTAAAATAACGTTGAGATGTTCAAAAAAACAGTTAAACATCGAGAAAACTCGTAAGAAAACCAACAAAAAAAAATATTCCACATATTTTTAGGTCCGTACGAACTTTTAAAAAGCGTCTTAACTTTATCAATAAATCATCCTTATACTCACCAAATAGATAAGGAACGTGTGAAGACCCGATCCGAGGCCAACTGAAGACAAAACGCCAAGAAATACCCACCTAAAATTGATATTTTGAAATATTTCTCGATTTTTTAGTGAGTTTAAATTGAAATATAGCATTGGGAATCCATCATAATGAACTTAAGAATGAGGAGAATGAAAAAAATCGACAACAGATAAATAAATTTATCGAAAAACCGATAGAAAAAATTTTTTTCTTCTGGTTTTTAATTGAAACTTTGTACAAAAACTTGGTTATTCTATTTTTTTTCGCGTTTTCAATCGAAAACTCACCATCCCCACCACAGAACCGTCTTTTCAACCGATTGGATATGTACTTGATGAGGTCCTGGGGTCACATAAGCGTAGGAAAAACCCGAAGCGACGATTGTGAACAAAAATAACAGTAATTTATGGTCAAATAACCTGAAAATTACATTTTTATTGAAAAAAGGTCGTTAAAATCGCAAACCTGACAATAAACTCTATAAAAAGATGCAACAACTCCATGATTGCATAATAAAACGTCAGAAAGGGTTTTCGCCATAAAACGATCGTTTCCCGTTCCAACCGATTCAAAGTATTCAACGATGGCGAAGGTTTCAGGCCGCCACTTGTGTGTGGAACACTAAAAATTGAACAACTACCAAAAAAATTGAAAAAAAACGACATAAATAGTACAAAAACTAACCTTGCCGTCGTCGGCTCATTAAACGCGACTTTTTTGTCTATTTTCGCTGGCTTTGGAGTTATAGACTTCTTTTTTGCCATTTCTAAATTTAAATAATTATTACGAAGCGAGTTAATGAAGGAATAATGACAAAACTTGAGAGAAAGCCATCAAAATCACACGACTTTGTGGGCGGAGCGACACGCGAGCATAGTCGTGCAAGCCTGCGGCACGGTTTTCCGACCTCGTAAATCAAAAGTCGCTTTTCGGCTCTTTCAAATTCTTTTTCTCTTTTTTTGATTAATTATACTAATAAAAAAAGTGATTTTTTTAATGAAAGATGTGTCAAAGGCATCACAGAAGCCGATGAAAGACAGGAGATCAGTAAGAATTTTTAAAAAAATTTTTCACAAATAAATGGAAAATTGTAGATTTATAAATATTTCTGAACTCTGCTTGTAAAGGATTAAATTTGCCACTTTACCTTCAAAATCAGCTTCAAACATCATAGAGAAAATAGGAAATATAGTTTTTCCTCTGTGAATTGGTTTCCATTGGCCAAACACACCCAAACCAGTTTTTTTCCATTGTTTTCCATTTTTTTCGATATAAATTTAGAGCTTTTTTTCTTCTTTCTTTGTGTCACGATCATAATGAGAGATTTTTTTGAGAGATTATGTTCAAATAATTCGGAACAGGAACGTCCTGTAATTTTTTTCAAAGTTTAAAAAAACAATTTTTTTAATAGAATTTTTTTGAAAAAGTCCACTTTTTTTGCAAAAAAATTATATATTATATCCCCATTCAAAATATTGATAGATTTTTTTATTTAATAAAAAAAAGGAAACTGAGGCTTTATAAAGCTATAAAATTAATTTTTTTAAAGAGAAAGTCGAATTACCAGCTTCATACTTCATTATTTCGATCAAAATGACTTCTATTCCAATTCAAAAAAATATTGACAAACATTTCAAAATTTGAAAAATCCATTTTTTTAAAGTTTAAAATCACGATTTAAACATCAAATTACATTCGAACAGGTATGTACATATGCTTCCATAGAACAGTCCAATTTTCACTCACTTTTTTGCTGAAACGCAAAGAAATTATTCAGGAATTTTTATTCACATGAAAAATTAAATTAAATCAAAGAAAAGGGACGAAAAATAATCCGGATATCAAAAAAAGGGAAAAAAGAATGAAAGAACGCGAAAAAGTGGCAAAAAACGGATGTCCGATTCGATCCGAAAACGAAGCGGTTTGGCGAGGTTTTCTATAATTTCTCTATAGAAAATTGGTTCATAAGAAGAATTTTTGCAGAGAAAAAAATCAGGCAAGTCTGACTGATTCAATATGCGAAACAGAAAAAGAAGGACCTAGAGGAATGCAGAAAAAATTGAAGAAACAGCTAAGATTATATGAAAGAAATGTACATAAATGGAGGATTTCGGGGCGGTTTTATACAAAGAAAAATGGCTTTGATGGGAAAATAATATCGTGAATTTTTGATGGGATGGATAGTGAATGAATTTTCATTTTTTCTTGAAAATATGATAAAAATTATTTTGAATAGTACAGCTTCAATATGACGTCATTGGCCAGCCGAATTCCAACCTAAAAATTTTCGAAAAGCGAAAAGAAGTCACTCAAGGGTTCAAAAATGACGTCACCAGCTCAAATCCTGAGTGACGTCACTTGGAAACTCAATAATGACGTCATCGGCCTTTTTCGGTTTGAGATTTTTTTAAACGAAAAATGACTACTCCCTTTTGCGATCCACCACACCAAAAAAATGCACAGGATCAACAGAAAATGAAGGAGAAACGATTAATGACGTCACAAACATGAATGACGTCATTAGAAAAAGTTTTGACGTCACTCAGAAGCTCAATAATGACGTCACTATCTCAATCTTGGGATCCAATAATTTTAAAAAATGGTAAAAAATCATTGAATCATTATCAAATGATCAAGCTGCCATTGGTAATGACGTAATGAATTTCTTGATGAGAATTGGGAGCAGTGACGTCACTCAGAGTTCAAAATCGTTTTTTTTTTTTGAAGTTATATTCAACTAACTGTCATCAACAGCCCATCAAAAAGTGATAAAAAATGATAAAGAAATGATGACGTCATTATGAAAGTGAGTGACGTCACTGAGCTCAACAATGACATCATCATCTTAATCTTGCGATCCATCCCACTACAAACTTCATAAAATGATGAAAAGTCATTGGATTAAGCAACTATTGGTGACGTCACAAAAATCAATGACGTCATTTTGAAAAGAAGTGACGTCACTCAGAAGCTCAAAAATGACGTCATCCTCTAAATCTTGCGATCCATCCCATCAAAAACTTCAAAAAATGATAGAATCAGATGATTAAGCAACAATGGGTGACGACATCATGGATCCCTTGATGACGATCGAAGGAGCTGTGACGTCAGTCGGAGAAGTGGGCGGAGTCGTGACGGTCCTCGACTTGAGCTCGCCGTCTTCGTGCACCTCGATGATGTGCTCGCTGTCGTTCTCCACCGTCTTCGTCACGATCTTCTTGCCGTCGACGAGCTTCGTCGTCGTCGACATTTTCTGGACCGACGCGTTCTTGCCGGGCTCCGTCGGGCTCGAGAATCGGATCACCGTCGAGAATTGGCTGGAAAATGATCATTTTTCGGGGTATAATTTCACTTCATCTTGAAGTTTTCTAACTGTCCGTTCTCTCCTTTTCTCTCGCTTAAAAATAAGAAAAGGCGAGAGATCGAGAGAGCGCAGACAGGCCAGACAGCTCCAAATCGAGCGCAGGAAAAATTGAAAAAATGCCGAGAAAATCTGAGCTTCTGCGCTCCACTCAAGGCCGCATTTGGAATGGCTTTTTTTTAGATTCCTCTTACTTTTTTGGCAGCTAGAGCGTATCGATTTCATCAAAATAAAGGGAAATGATATGGAATTACTAGTAGCCTATAAAACATTGATGTAAACTAGTGATCAAAAATATTCGTGGCTTTCAGCGCAACTCGTTTCAAGTCGGGTGCACTTAAAAAGAGATAAGCTTTCCCTCCTACGACAATTTTTCTAGGTTATGTGGCATCCAATTATTAAAGCTTCCCATACTTTTTTCTTTTAATATTTGCCTGAAACTCAAAACTGATGGAAATTTTTTCTCTTATTTTTCTTCCAACCCCTTCATTTCTCATTTTTCTCTGAGCAAATGAAAAAAAAAGGAAAAAAAAAGGCGAACCAGTTGTCGTCGCGTGGACGCTTCTCGTCGTAGAAAATGTGTACACGTGGGCTCGAAAACCGGCGGTTCGATGGCTCTGCGGACAGGACACTTTATTTGACGCGCAAATATTTGCTTTCTTGGGTTAACCGCTAATTTTCATGTTTATCTGGGTGTTTTTTGGAGATCACTACGGATCAAACACTTCATTTTACGCGAGAAAAATTGGAAAATTGTTGGGTTAATGGTTTGATTACAATAATTTTGCCTCCTATGCGTCAAAAATCTTGTAAAAAGTATTGTGACGTTATTTGCGGACTATGCAACTAACTTGACGCGCAAATTTTTGCTCAGGTTAACAGCAAATTTTCATGTTTATCTAGGTGTTTTTTGAAGATCACTACGAATCAAACACCTTATCTGACGCGCAAAAATTGGACAATTCTCGAACCAATGGTATGTTTTTCACACTTGTTCCTATTCGAGAAAAAGCTTTATTTCTCAGCCGTGAAAATTTTTGCGGACTTTCCAATTAACTTTAAGCGCAAATATTTGAGTTTTTTTCAGACTTTTGTTGGTTAACATTTGCTTTTTAGTGTTTATCCATCGGTTTTGATGATTTTTGCCGATAAAACACCTCATTTGACGCCAGATTGTTGAAAAAAAAAAGCTACCAATTTTTTCACTATTTATAATGCGATTTTCGTTCGGAAAAAAACTCACTTTTGTGCGCATACGAGCCAATGTCAGGGAAGGAGAACGCGTCGTCGAAAAAGATGCCCTGTAAAAAAGCCCACTTAAAATTTGAGTTCAACTCAAAATAGGACATGATTTTGAACTGTATTTTTAAAACATTTTCGCTGTTTCAACTGTTTTTTTAAAAAAATTTTTTTCTCTTTCCAATTTTTAATTTTAGAACATTCATATTCGAAGTTATTTCGGCAAATTGACGCATTTTTTTCCGAAATTTGAATTTCCAAAGCCTTCATTGGCTTCTGTCGCGATATTGCGACTTTTACTGGCTCATTGGCTCACAGAAATTTCAAAATTTGGGGTTTCGCTTGTGAAAATCGCTCTCTCATTGTAGAACCTTCTAACGGCTCCTAAAATTCCAATTTCGCGTATTTCGCGACGCCATTTGATACGAATAACGCGTCAATTTCGAAACCACCGAAATCAGTGTAAATTTCAAAGTTTTAAAATAATGTTCACAAAAGATTCCGCGATATTCAAAAAAATCTCTAACTTTCCAAATTTTCTGGGAAAACTTTCAGTGGCCTCTATAGGGTTTTGACGTTTTAGTGTCCACTATAGTAGTCAAATTAGTGGCCACTGAAGGGGTCAATGGATCAAAATAACCGGTCCAATCTGTTTGTTCTAAAACTATCAGAGTTGCTGGAAGGAATATTGGATGAAAAACTACTGAAGTGGCCACTAAATAGAGAATCTCCATAGTGGCCACTAAAACGGAAAACAGTGACCACTATGGAGGTGGGTTTAGTGGCCACTTTAGTGGCCACTTTAGTGTCCTCTCTAAGTAGTTCTTGGCAAGCCTCTATAGTGGCCACTTCAGTAGTTCGCGGCTCTACAATTCAAACCCTAACAAGTCGAATTTAAAGGACTAGAAAGTTTCAAGGAAAACTGATATTCGAGTAAAACAATGATACATCAATTGGACCTCCAAGGCAATATTATCAATTTAATCACAGGATATCAATGAAAAAAGGTGCCTCGAAAGGATCCCGATGGCCGAAGAACTCGCGGAAGATGTCGAACGGCGACCGGAACATGTCCGGATGATGGTGGCGATGATGTGGGGCGCTGCGGCGCCGGAAAGCCGCCGGGTTCTCCGAACGGTCAAAGTCGGCCCGTTTCTTGGCTGAAAATGTTCAGATTAACAAATGATTTCGTAATGATTTTCGAAAAAATATGAAAAAAAGGTACAAAATCCTTTGAATTTCGAAAATTTTCTTGTCAAATCAGTTAATATTGTTCAAACGGGGCGGAAATTATCAATTAAATAGAGAAAAAAAAAAACAAAATGTACCTTCAAAATCAGTGAAAACAAAGAAATAATTAACTATATTATAGTCATTCCTCCCCAGCTTGCAGGCAAGGATGACGAGTTGCGTACGCGGCGCGGCTTTTGGCGGGAAATTTGAAATCAAACTCAAACATTATATTTTTTTAAATATTTTTTTCCAACACTTCTCAATATTCATGTTCTCAAAAAAATCATGTTGAATGAATAAAATTTTTGAAATTCGTAATTTTTTTCACATTTTTTTATCTCGTTTTTCCGCCAAAAAGCGTACGCTTTTGAAATCGGAAAAAAACTGAAGAAATTCGATTTTTTTCTTCAACAGCTCTTAAATAACTGGAGAAAATGCTCTTTTTTTGCTAAAATTGACTGATTTCGTAGTTTCTCCTTTTTTTCATTTTTTTCTAATCTCAAAAAAGGAAAGGCTTGTTGAAGAGGTTTTTTTCGAGTCAATTTTTCTATATTTCCACATATTTTTTTATTAAAAAAATTTTTTTCTGAAAGTTCTATTAGTTCTGAGAATTCTCGGAAACAGTTTGGATTTTTTTAGAACAACTTGGATGTGTTAAAAGGATATTTCTGGATTTTTTTGTCTTTCTAACAAGTAATAAAGCCATAAATTTCCATTCAGAACTATGTTTCTTCATCCAAGCGTTTTTAAAGCGTTGAAACTCGACTGAAAAGCAAAAACTTCGAGAAAAAAAATGACTGAAAAATTCCAATTTGCTCTGAAGTTCTTCTCAGAACTTGTAGAAGTTTTTTTTCATAGCTGATTTTATTATTTTCTACCTAGTCAATTTATTTCATATGACATCCCTTTCTAAACTTTTTTTCATAAGCTCGAAATCAAGAATCCTGAATCTCTTTCCGTTTGAACACATTGTAAACCCGGCGAACTACGCTCTCAATTAATCATTGAACACATGTTTATGCCATTAACCCGACTTTACAACTTTTTTTCGCTCCGTTCTTCGTGTTCTTTCCAGTTTAAAGCACAATTCGGAGGTCTTCAACGTTTCAAAGTAGACAAATTGAGGAAAGGAACAAGTTTCATCATGAAAATCATTGAAGGAACCTTGGAAAAGGTGAAATTTAGGTTCTAAAAAGGGAAAAACCATTTAAAAGGTGAAGAATAACTATAAATTTGATTGTTCCGGATTAAAAATATGCTTAAAACTTGTAAATAATGGAAAAAAATAAATTAAAAATACAGTTTTTCTTACTATCTCAAACGTTCCTTTTTTTATAGAATTATCTTGAATTTCACTGATTACTTTTTTTCTACAGAAAGTACTCAAGAGCTCTCTCTAATTCAATCTCTTAAGTAACCCCTTAGGCCTTATTTCTCACAAAAATTGACCCTTTCTCAACTGCAAAAACTTCAAGTGGCCACTTCAGAGATTTGAAAACTCGTTACCATTATGTTTGTTTTTTTTTCGAGTTTATCAAGTTCCAAGCGGCTAAGAAGCCCTCAAGTGCTCCCTTAGACCCAGTCCCTCAAGAAACCCCTTCAACATTAATTCCAGTTCAACCTTTTCTCAATGAAGTCCGCTAAAAGTTGAAGTGGGCCCTTAAGAAAACCGAGAGCTCTTCCCAACTTTCAAAGTTTCTTTTCAACTTTTTCAGGTCCTTATCGGCTAAAAAACTCTCAAGTGCTCCCTTGAATCAAAACTCTCAAGCAACCCCTTCAACCTTCTCTCAATTAAGTCCGCTAAAAGTTCAAGTGGGCACTTAAGAAAACTGAGAACTCTTCCCAATTTTCTCCATTTTTTTTCAACCTTTTCAAGTCCCTATCGGCTAAAAAACCCCTCAAGTGCTCCCTTAGACCCAGTCCCTCAAGTAACCCCTTCAACCTCCTTTCCCACTCAATTTGACCCAGTCTCACCGGGAAAAAGTTCCAAAATAGTGTCTCGAAACCCGAAAAAAGCCGTGAATCAGGTGTTCTTTTTGTCAATATTGTCGCGTGCGGTGACAAATAATATCTGTGTACAAATAAATACTCGCCATTTTTTTCTTTTGTTTACTGTGTACTTTCTCTTCTTTTTGAATATTTGAGAAGATTTTTGGAGCCGTTCGTTTTTGGTTTTTGAAACAAAACCTATCAAAAAGTAGTGAAAAATTACTTTTAAAAAAACCCTTAAGGGGTCATTTTCAAATTTCAGCTCTTAAATGACATTTTCAAAATTTTCATTTTCAAAATTTAGGTCAGTCATCTTATTTTGAGCTCTCTTTCAAGCAAATCAATCCAAGGAATCAGTTACTTTCGTTATTTAAAATAAAAAAAAACTCAAGTTAGAGACAACGGAAAGCTTGGAGAGACCCAGACGCTCAGACTGTCTGGCACTCTCCTGTTTTCAATGCTCTTTAGTACATCCTCAACTGATTCTTCCGGGCGATTTTTCTTTAAACTCGATGAGAAATTAGAGACAATGGAAAACCTGGAGACAACCTGTTTCTCTAACCGTCTGTCACCCTCCTCTTTTTCAATGCTCTCTAACCTTTTCAGACATACTTTTTTCAAAAATCTAGTCGAAAAAAGCGCCATCAGAGAATATTTCGTAAATCTAGGCAATTTTTTCCGATTTCTAAGAAGAGGTAGAGACCACGGAAAACCTGGAGACAATCTCAAACTCTAACCGTCTGCTACCCTCTTCTTTTTCAATGCTCTCTATATTTATCTAGACTGATTTTTCACAATTTGCAGTCACAATGCCACTATCGGAGAGAATTTCTCAGTCCTAAGCGATTTATAGGAAAAGTTAGAGACAATAGAGAACCTGGAGACACTCTTTAACTCTAACAGACTGGCACCCTTCTTTTTTTCAACGCTCTCTGACTTTTCTAGACACTTTCAAGTATCTAGTCGAAAAACTCGCTAGAGATGTCTTATTTAGGCGATTTTTTGATTTCCAAGAAAAATTAGAGACAACGGAAAACCTGGAGAAACCCTCTAACTCTAACTGTCTGACACCCTCCTCTTTTTCAACAATCTCTAACTTTTTCTAGACTTTTTTTTTAAAATCTAGTCGAAAAAAACGCTATCAGAGATGATTTTTTAGCTTTAGGCGATTTATTTGATCTCCAAGAAAAGTTAGAGACCACGGAAAACCTGGAGAAACCCTCTAACTCGAACTGCCTGGGCTCTCCACGTTTTCAATGCTCTTAATTTTATCTAGACTGATTTTTCACAATTTCCAGTCACAAAACCCATTTTCAGAGAAATTTTGCAGTCCTAGGCGACTTCTAGAAAAGTTAGAGACCACGGAAAACCTGGAGACAGCCTCCAACTCTAACTGTCTGTCACCCTCCTCTTTTTCAATGCTCTCTGGCTTTTTCTCGAGAAAGCTTGAGACAAGGTCCATTTTCAACGTGAAATATTGAGAGACGCAGAAAATCAAGCCGTCTGTCACCCTCCTATTTTTCAATGCTCTCTGGCTTTTCTCGTCTGATTTTTTTTTCAGTATCAAAACCCACAATCGGAGAGGATTTCGTAGGCCTGGGCGATCTTTTTGAACTTCACTTCGGCCTCTTCCTTGGAGGTGTCGTCGTGCTTGTCCGGATGCCATTTCAGAGCCAATTTTCGGTATCTAAAATAGAAGAACTCTTTATTAATCAAAAAATGGAGCTGGAGGAGCTTCTGGAGGCCTCAAATATTCATATTTTTACAAAAATGGTCTCAGCTTGCACAGAAAGTTCTAAGGAAGACTGTTAAGGTCTCCAAAAAAAGTCTTCCAAGCTTGAAATTAAATAAAATGCCGCTGATTAGGTTAGAAAAAAATAATAAAAAAAGTTGAAAAAAATTCCACAAAACTGAAAAAGAGAAAAAAATCAAGGCTCATTTTTCCGGACCAATGTCTATAGATGGCAGCAAAATATTTACCAATTTTGAGACTTTTTTTCGAAAAAGAATTATCAGATTTTTTTGAAAAAAATTGAAACAGTTTTTGAAAGCCTCGATAATGATCCAGGTCTCTTGAAAAAAATTTTTAACATTTCAAACAAATATTTTTTTGAAAAATCGAATTTTTCAAATTATGTTTACGAATCAACCTAAAATCCATTGTAAAATTCAACAAAAAGCTTTTTTTCGAAAACAGTGAGAAATTCAATTTTCAAACCGAGATATAAAATCGTTTGCCATGACTGTGCATTGATTCGCTCAATTCAACTTGAAATATATAAATAAACAGCGAAACAGTAATATTTGCTAAAAAGTTGGAATATTTTTCCCCCAAGTTCCAAATGACATCGTTCCAATGTGATATTTATTCTGACGGCTATTTGATCAAGCGTATCTTTGCTCCGATGCGAATTGTAACGGAAAAGGCTTTTCTGGCGAGGTCGTTCCCCAGGGGAGAGAAAGGGGAAAATCAAACAAACTTGAATCACTTGATAACCCCGCCGTCGCATGGGGGGAGGAAGGAACGCCGCGGATATTTTTGGAACGATTTTTCCGAGAAAGAAAAAAAGATTTGGAAATTATCATGATGAAATATTTTTTTACTCGAAAAAAAGAGAATTTTTGATTTTTTTGTCAATGAAATGAAAAATTTTTTTAAAAAAAGCTCTCAAAAAGCCTACAGAAAAAAAGGTAATTTTTTTACTTGAAAACTTTTTTTAAAAAAATACTTCTAGATGTTCCAGTTAAAGAATCTGAGTGCAACTTGCGAAAAATCACAAATTTTTGAAAAAAAGGGCTTAAAAAGGACCATTGAACTGCAGAACTTTCAAAACAGATCGATGGAAATTTTTCCTTTTTCAGTGATTTTTTTAAAGGTAACTTTTTGCTTTTTTTCACTCATTTTTGAAAAAGAAATTCGTCGCGATTTTCGAAAAAAACTTGAAAAAAACACCGAACCTAGAAAAAGTCAGAAAATCTATTATTTTCCGAATTTTTTTATCAATCTTTTTAGTTTTTCTTTGAAAGTTGATAATTTTTTTCCGTTTCCCAAATTTTTTTCTTCGATTTTTTCGATTCCGAATAGAGTTATTCTCATGAGAATCACTATAAAAAAATCTATGAACGGAAAAATTTTTCAAAAATTCTTAAAACTTAAAACCTATTGTCCTTTTTTTCATGATTCAAACTTTTTTTAAATCAATTTTTTTCAGCTTCAAAAAAAGTTCAAAAAGATTGTTAAAAAAAGTTCACAAGACTATAACGACTTTCCTTCCTTACCAAGACTTTTCTGCCATTTTCCCTAATTTTCAACTTTTTTCTTAAAAATCTCATGGAAAAATTTCCAGGAACCATGACGAAATGGCTGAGACAAAAGCTTGTTCTGTTTTTTTCCCTCTGTTGATTTTTTCGGGGCTTCCAAGACAAGAGCTTCCAACGGCTTCTTCTTGTGTACCGAGGGGGCCAAATACGGAACGCTTTTCTCTTGTTTTCCGCCAGGCTTAACCTTTTTTTTTGTTTTTTCTGGGCTTGGTATGATTGGAAAGGTTTTAAGCTTGACCAGAAGCTTGAAAATGGTTGAAAAAGTCGATCATTGACCGTTTTTTGAAAAGAATTAGTTAAAAAACGGTTCAAAATTTGACCAGAAGCATAAAAAAGTGAAATAAGGCGAAGAAAAAAGCCAAAAAGACACCGGAAAGTGAAAAAAAGCATTAAGAAAAGTCAAAATTTCGTTTTACTCAGAAAAATCCCTGGTCCGAAACATGAAAATGTGAAAAACCCCATAGAAACCGGTAAAAAAAGGGAAAATTCATCATTTTACTTCTGGATAAATCAAACTGCTCTCAAAATGAACGTAAAAAGAAAAAAAAAATAAAATTTGAAGGTTAATTTACGTTTCTCGACCTATTCATAGGCTTTTGATTTCTTGATTGTTCAATACACTGCTGTTACAATGAATAGGTTTTCAATTTATCTTCGTTCATAATGAAATAAACTGAAAAAAATTAAAAAAATTCAAGAAACAAAAATCTTTATTTCTTCCATTTTCTCCATACATAAGCAGACCATATTTTAGAAGCTTCCGACCCCTTTTTTCAAGTTTTTCTTTTCAAAATTGAAGTTGATACTACCTTCCTGAGGTTAAAACTTGTATTATTAAGGCCGGAAGAAAATGTTGTACTTGCCCATCTATGACTTTCTCTTGAAAATCCAAAAACCATCAAAAAGTTCGGTTGAATACGCGAAATCCTCGCACTTTCAAGGTTATTATCGGGCGTTTTTACTCGTTCTTCTTCTTTTTTTTTCTTATTTGCTCTATTTTCAATGACCCAGTTATGAGCCAAGTATTAGGATTGAGAAAACGGCGAAAAAAGCGAATGGATATTATATATTTGATCATGAAATTCAGTCAAAGGACAATATTATTGAATAAAAATTGTGGAAAATTTCGGTTTCAAGCAAAAAAATATTACAAAAAAATGGGAAGTTTTTTTTCGATACGATTATGATTTCTAGGAAATTTTCCGAAAATATAAATGAAAAAAACTCAAAAAAATCTGGTGAAAAAAATTGGATTTCCAAGCAAAAAAATGAACAAGATTCGCTTTTTTTGCCTGGAATTTTTGATAAACTCAAAGTTTTTCACTTATTATTTGAACTCCTGAGTGAAAATTTTTCGAAAAAAACACAGAAAATAAGGAAAAAAAATGACTAATACTCCCATCCAAAAAAATTTTTCCCACTGTTCAACTTGGGAAAAATCTTTCAATAGACTTTTTACAACGTAGAGATTATGAATCATGATTTTTAAAAAGTGAAATTCGTTCTAAACTGCTCGAAAATAGCATACCGCGTAAAACACTAAAATGCGTTTCAAAATCGAATAAAATCCGAAAAATACCCTTTTTTTGATTTCAAAATGTTTTAAATGCGTTGTTTTTTTAAAAAGGTTTTTCTTCGGTTTTATTTATATATAAAAAGTTCAATTTTTTTGAAAAGAATATATCAAAAAAACCTTCTTTCATCCGGAATATGAACATATACAGCTACCCGAAAAATATATCCTTAATTTGAATATTTTTAAAAATACTTTGTACAAAATAATGTTGAAAAAATGACGAAAATATTCTCTAGAAAACACTTGAAACATTTTTTTCGATGAACATACAAAAATAAAACAACAAATCGATGAAATGAATAGAAAACGAACGCTTTTTTGATTTCCGTCTCGTCCGAGTTGCTCGGAATACCCAATGTAACGTAGGGAGAATCGTCGCGGGGCGGCATCTCTGCAAATAAAATGGATAATGTGGGAAAAAATAATCATTAAAGAAGATAAAAAAACGGAAAAATGTCCAAAATATGTTGGGGATTTATTAAAGGAGCATGGCCGGTTTCAACAAAAAAGTCTCAAGGCGAAGAGTCATTTCAACGTCTTAGAAATGTTCAAAATGCATTATCGAACGTATAAAAGTGTGAAATTAACGTGAAAAGAGACAAAATAATCAAAATCTCAAGGTTAATTTACGTTTCTGAACTTATGTTTAGGTTTTCGATTTCTTGAATTTTTTCAATGGGCTGATGTAATTGGTTGGTTCTTCTATATTCAAATTATCTTGGTTCTTCCGAAATTTATTAGAATAGACGGGAAAAATACATGAACACAAGTATAGAAATGCATGTAAAGAAGACAAAAATGAAGGAAAATGGTCGGGAAATCGCGAAAGTCGGCGCAGGTCGGGGGCGGATCCGATAGGGATGACGGCTTTGAGAAGAAGAGGATTTCATTAATTTTCAATGAAGAAGATGCATAAATTCATTAATTTTTGACCCTTTCTGTCTTTTTTTTTTGACCTTAAAACATTTTTAAAACTCATATGATTCAAATAATGGATTTCAAAGTTCATAAATTTCAAAAATATCGAACTTTTTGGACGTTATTTCTAGAATAAATCTCTTTTTAATCGGTCACTGAACTATTGTCAATATTGCTAAAATCCTTCTAAACCTTTTTTTCGAAACAGTAAACCGGAATAGAATAGATTTTTCTTTCAAAAATCATTTTCAAAATTTGACGAAAAAACTAGAATCTTGAAATTTGCATCTCGTAGGGAACATAACGAAACGAATTTATTGGAAGAAAATGTTTTTAACACTTTTCTCGAAACAGGAAACCCAGGAAAAACGGGTTTTCATGTTTCTCCTTTTATAATTACATAGAAAAACTATCGAGAAAGCAACTTATTTAAAATTCTTACTGTTGATTATGTTGGCAACGAATTTTCAACTAAAAAAACTCTTTTCATACTTTTTTCGAAACAGTAAACCGAGGGAAGGACAGATTCGAATGACCGAAGTGGGGGAATAAAGGAAGTTGTGCAGATGTTTTACAAGAGGCGCTTTGAGACAGGTGAAAAGAGGGGGGGACCATGTGTATTTTTCCTCTCCGATGGGCGACAAAAGTGGGCGTGGCCGGCACAGGTGTGCCGAAAAATTGGGCGGAGTCGAGTTTGAAAATTTTTTTTTTGAAAACGACTTTCCCGTTTCAATTAATCTATGTAGAACAGGGATAACTAATTTAACTAATTTCAGGTATAGGTAGATCTGTTATAAAAAAAATTCGATAATTCATCTTTTTTTCTCTGAACTCTCTGGTTTTTCCATGATCTTTACATTCAAATAAACTTTTTCCAAATGCTGAAAGAATTTTTGAAAGAAATTACGTAAAATCAGGCTTTTTTGACTGAAATTTGTACTGAATACACTATAAAAATCCGTTTTTCTTCTTCCAAAAAAGAAAAATGGGAAATCGGATTAAGAAGATTGGGAATGGCTGTGATGGAATTTGAAAAGGAGCGGAAAAACAACTGAAAAAAAGAACAAATTAGGGGAAATTTAGGCGATTCGAAGAAGAATGGAAGTCTGGGAAAGAAGAAAAATTGGTTTCAGGCAAAAAGTTGGAGTTGGAAAATTTTAAAATCAAATTTTGAGGTACCCATAAGATCAACAAAATAAACAAGTCATATCTTCAAAATTGTCAGTAAATATCATTCGGATGGAACCGAGTTTTGTATTTTATTATTTCACTACTCAATCAATTTTGATAATTGATTTTTGACCAAAAATTGGAATTTCCTCCAAAATAAATGCCGATGGTCGCACTTGGAATGGCTACTGAATCCTTGTCGGCTTTTTCGAGCCATTCCAAATGCGACCAATAAGTCTCTTTTTAATCTGTGAATTTACCAATTGAAAAAAATATTTTTCTCAATTTAAGAACATTTGAAACAGAGTTGTCATCGGAAATTCAAGAAAAAAATTGAGACTTTTTTTCCAACTCTTGCGTACTTTTTCTGATTGTTTAGAAAAAAATAAATTCATAATTTTTTTCAGAATATATAGAAAGAATTTCAATATAGGCTCTTTTTAATCTTCGAAATCAAACTTTCAACGGCGAAAATTGATGAGAGCTTTCAAAATTATTTTACTGTTTCACACATTTCACTTATTTCTCGGACTTTTTCAAAGAGTATTGGTGAGTGAGCATGAAAATTTCAAAAAAACAAAATAATATTATACTTGAATTGTCCTGGAAGCTATTAGTTGCACTTGGACTTTTTTTCAAACAGCATATTTCAAAAACTTTCTTGAAGTAAAAAAAAAAGAGTGGTCCTCATGTTAGAGGGGAAAGCTGAAAAAAGGCTGCGAATCTCAAATGTTCCCCAAAATTCTCGAAAAAAAAAGCAAAAATTGTTCTCTTTTCAACTCGAAGCGTCGCGGTCGCACCCGACCCAAAACGAGTTGCGCTTGAGGGCATTGGAAAGCGTTTAACCAACCTTGCCGCCATTCCAAATGCGACCATGGGGGTATAAAGTTTCGGCAAATGTAGTTCTAATTTTCATTTTCATGCATCTTTTAAACGCCCCGGCTCAAAATGACTTGCGCTCGAAGGAATTGAAAAAAGTCAAAAACGCGACACGACCGCGCCGCTTTAAGCAATTCCTAATGCGATCACAAGGGTATGAAATCTCGCAATTTGGTATTATCTTTTCTACGCTTTTTTTTTCAAATTCAAAATTTTCCTTGAGGTTAAAAAAATAGTTCCAGTTCAGGGAAAGTTTGGCCACTTTAGGGTTTTGACGTTTTAGTGGTCACTATAGGGGCCAATGGATTAACATAACTGGTCCAATCTGTTTGTTTTAAAATTATCCGAGTTACTGGAAGGAAGACTGGATGAAAAACTACTGAAGTGGCCACTCAAACGGAAAGTAGTGGCCACTTTAGTGTCCTCTTCAAGTAGTCCTTGGCGAGCCTCTATAGTGGCCACTAACATGAAAAGGAAAAGCTAAAAAAAAAGGCTCAGATTTTCAGCTTCCCTCGAAAATGCTCGGAACAAAGCGAAGGAAACTACTCACCAGTACTCGAAAAACAACCAAGAAAACCTTGATTTTTGCAACAAAGGCAACAAAAAAAAAACGAAAAGCAAGTGGTGAGAAGTATTGTGAAAAGAGGAGAAGAAATTGGGCCCCGTCGGAGTTTTACACATTTTTCGGGCCCACTGAAGCAAAATTTTCCCTCAAGACACACACGCACGTATTGTGTCTGTATGTAAGTGTGTGTATGTATACGAAAAAAAATTTTCGCAGAGCATTTTTTTCGTTGTTTTGGTCATTTTTTTGGATATATTCTCTTCAAAAAAGCTCTTTTAATAGAAAAGGTTCAAGTGGTCACTTTAGGGGGAAAAAAGCGTCCTCTACAGGGATGACATTTAAATGGTCCCTTTAGGGGTCCAGGATCCGACCTCTAAGCTCCTAAAGCTCCAAGTGAACCCTATAGGATCTTTTAATTTTTTTTTTTCTAGTTTTAAAAAATTAAAAAAATACTCTTGATTAATTTATCCTCTCTTGACACTTTTACATTAAAAAAAACGAAAATTTATTGAATCTTCATAGCAATTATCGATTAGAATGCCCCTAGAGGGACCACTTTTGCAAGCTTAAGTGCGCCTACAGTGAAGGTAAAGTGATTCCTAGAGGGGCCTTCAAGAGCCTCTAAGATCGCCCCTATAGGGGTCACTCCGGAGCACCTTAGTAAATTCGATGAAAAATAAAAATATTAAAATTTTCAAAATAATTCATCCATATTAATTCGCCAAACCCTTGGCGCTATTCAGAGAAATTTTTGGGGTTGGAAAAAAATTCCAAAAAAACCCAACTGACCGTACTTTACGGAAAATCTGAAAAATTGAAGGAAACATGAAAAAATCATGACCAAAGTCCGATTAAAAATATTCTTTTTGAGAAAAAACTTTTATTACAAATTGAATTATATCAAATATAATGAAGTTTCCAAAAAAACCAATAAAAAAAAACCAAAAAAATAAAAAAATAAAAAAACACCAAAAAGGCAAATATAACTTTCATGGTTCTCTTCCTCCACGCCACAGATCTGTCTGTGAGCGAAATAAACAAGTTAGAACAATGCAAATGACAAAAAACGAGTTTATTTGTGTTTCCTTTGAAACAGTGAACTTCTCCAAAGAGATAACATTTTTGGACTTTTTTGAATATAAAGAAGAATTACTGATGGTGAAGCTTTCTACTATGATTTTTCGAAAGTCTACAAAAAAGCCAAAAAAAATTGGATTGTTCGATGTTGAGAAATTCTGCTCGAAAAATTGAGTTTTTCCGCTGATTTTTCTGATTTTCAAGTTTCAATTTCAAATGAACCCCCTTTTTTAAAAGAATAAAAAAATTATTACCTTATTTGATTTTTTTGAACAAATTACTACACATTCAAATCATTGGCACTTAACTTTTCGCAATTTCAAGTCTGATTGAAACAGTAACGGAAGTTAGTCTGTTCCGAAAATTTTAAAAGTTGCTCGAAATTTCCAGTTTTACATCGAAAAACGCGACCTTTTCAATTTTTGCACTTGAAGTAGCATGTCAAGTGGTCATTGTAGGGGGTCGAGAATGAGGAAGAGGAAGTGGAGGTGAGAGAGTGTGGGAAAAGAGGAAGGTTGTTAGAGAAAAAAGTTTGAAAATTAAAAAAAATTATGACTGAAAATAACTAACTTAAAAAGCCCAGAGTGGTCACTATAGGGGCCCTTGGAGGTTTCACTCAAAGGATCACTTGACCAACCTCTATAGGGTGCACTTGAGCTTTATCGGCAAAGGGGTCAGAACCTAAAACCCTCTGTAGAGAGCACTTTAGTTTTACCCCTATAGGGGCCACTTTTTCGTCACTATATATGTAGTTTTCCTCCGTAAACCCTATAGGGAACA